GCTGGGGAGACCTTGAACGCCTTGCCTCCAACTTCTAAGTAGCCAGTTTATGCAGTGCTGGGGACTGGACCAAGGGCATTCACCAGCATGCCTTGCTTTCTCTTTAATTTGAGGCAGGATCTCTCCCTCTTGGTCTCCCTCCACTGCCAGCTCCCCATTCCTTCAGTTTTCCGATCTGCCGCAGGAGCACACCCCGACCTTGCCCCTGTCCCTTCTTGCTGACGGTCCTGTGGTTCCTGCATTCTTTTCCTGCCTCTGACGCAGGACGTGGCTGAGCCTCATCCAGACCAGCACTCCCAAGCTTGTGTTGCCTTGGTGCTCTGACTTCATGGTTTGGGGGACTCCCACTCTGCTCCCCTGTCTTTGCTCTTCAGACTCATGCTTTCCAAACAGGCCGTTTTCCTCTAGAGACCAAAAGTTCCTTCTACTCCAAGTCTTTGGAGGTCCTGCATTACTCTGGAGCTGAAGGGTCCTTGGTGCCCCTTGATGCAATTTTCTCTCTCTCTCTCTCTGCCATGGCTAGACCTTGCAAGTCCTGTTGTCCCCTCCTAGTGTGTGTCTGCCTTTCTTGGGAAGGAAGGCATTTTCATGGTCTGTGTCCCGCTGAGTGTTGTGCCAGGTGGGCATCTAGTTGTATCTCCAGATACTTGGAGAGATACGTGCCTGTTGAGGGTAGCTCAGATGGGCAGGGGATGGAGACAGGATTCCAGGCTGATGCTCTGGTCTCCTGCCTCTGTTCCAGCCTCTGCCTCTGCCCCTGTATGCACCCTGTATGCTAATTTCAGCATTCACGCCTTTCTGTTCAAGAACCTTCAGTGGCTCTCAGTTTCCTATGGAAACATAACATTTTCATGTTGAAGAACTAAGAATCTGACTCTCAAAAAAGAAAGTTGTCCCCAGGGATGAGGCTGGTAAATGGTTTCAGCTTGGGAATTTCTGGTTTCATGTCCCATTCCAAGTTGGCTGGGCTGTGCTTCCTTCCTTCAGCCTGAGATTGTTCTGCCTGGCCCTTTGGTCCTCTGCCATGTTCCTGCCTCCCATCTCTCCTCACTTCCTTCCTCTTCCTAGTACACAGTGTCTAGACATGCTGCCCAGTTTCATCCCTGGCCCTTTTTGGTGCTGGAGTGTCCAGTATTCCCTTCATTTCTGTATGGCCCCGTGACTTCTTCAGGAGAGCTGTCCCAGACCCAGCACAGAGGAATGAAGTGTTGTCTTTCACAAAGGTTTTTGAGTGTGTGGGTGTTTTCCCTGTATACATGTCTGTGTTCCACATGTATGTAGTACCTATGGAGGCCAGAACAGGATCTCCGGAACTAGAGTGATAGAATGTTGTGAGCCGCCATGTGGGAGCTGGGAACCAAACCCAGGTCCCCTGAGGAGCAGCTAGTGCTGCTGGGCCATCTCCAGTCTCTCAAAGCTTTTGGAGTTACATCCTGGGATAGTGTCTCTCCACCTCTGGCTCTGTTTGAACTTCTGCAGTTCACCTCTCAGTTGCCGCTGGCTCTTTTCTCAGCTCCTGGTTTGATTGTAATTCCTGGGGAAATGACGTCTTGCAGCCTGTGTCCCAGTTTTGCTTTTTGCTGTCTGCCTCTGCCTTGTCCTCAGCACAGCTGTGAGTGACAGTGAAGGTCCCCAGGAGTGAGTGGACACTGCAGGACACAAACCTTGGAGGAGGTGTCCTGTCTCCCCCTCCCCCCACAGGATTTCTCTGTGTAGCTTTGTGCCTTTCCTGGAACTCACTCTATAGACCAGGCTGGCCTCAAACTCACAGAGATCCTCCTGGCTCTGCCTCCCGAGTGCTGGGATTAAAGGCGTGCGCCACCACTGCCCGGCTGGAGGAGGTGTTTTAGGGCAGGGCTCCTAGATATATTCGGACCCATGCTCCCATTAGCCTGATGCCAAGAAGGAAGTGGGTCTTGGCGGAGGCTAGCTGCCATTCGGGTCCAGCTGGGGACAGAGGATCAACAATCCTAAATTCTAGTTCTTACTGGATGGACAGCTAGCTCCCTCACTGGAGGAATGAACAGGTCTGGGCAGTTTGGACCCCCGGACATGCATAGGGATGGGCTGCAGAGCAATGGAGGAAAAGCTGAGGTAGGCATTATTATGCATTTGCCGTCCCTGAAGGTTGCTAGCCGCTGGCAGTCAGCACCCAACTATCTGGATGCAGGACCTGGGCTTGGCCTCTCTGGGGGCCTCCAGGGCTCACAGCCTGTCATGATTTCCACAGCATGTGCAAGAGCTCCTGATGGGTGGTCCAGCAAACACATAGGGTTGTGTTGATGAAGGTGCCCTGACCTGGAACTCTGGAGTTTACTCTGGCAAGGTTGTTCTTGGTGGCACCCCAATTGTAGTAGCTAAGATGAATCAGGGAGGCATAGGGCCCCGCCTTTTATAGATACCCTGCCATCTGCACTTGTGAGTGAGAGGTTTGGCTCATAGGTGATGGTCAAAGTTACTGCCAAGTTTAAGTAAAGCTGCAGGTTCTCCCCTCCCCGGCCCCCCATTGCCCTGGCCAGTGCCCCACAGCTCCTCATTCTGGCTGCTCTTGAAGTGACAGATCCCTCTCAATGCTTGAACTTTTGAACATCATCCCTATGACCTATCTAAACATCAAGGGCTAGTGTCTTCCCAACACCACTGAGTTGCCTTTGTGGCCAGCTCAAGGTCAGGGAATGCCAGCTCCCAGAAGGCAAATAGCTTTAATTACTTGATCGGAGCTCATTAAAAACAAAACAAAACAAAACAACAAAAAACAAAACAAGACTTGAACGAGAATTGCACTGTCCAAGTTCTGCACACCTTGTTTTCTTTCTGTTCAAGTCCCCAGCAACTAAAGACTTTTGCTATGAGCCAGGTGCCAAAGCTAAACACTGCTTTGAGACTGAGTGCCAAAAACTCATTTTAACCCTTGACTTCTATACCCGTCTTTGAAATTTCAGATACACGATGTGGAAGGAGTGCAGGCTCTGGTGGTGTGCCAGATTGGCCCTGCTTCCTTGCAGAGATCTTCCCAAGCAGCTGTTTTGGCATCTCATAGAGGAAGGAAACCTTTTTCTCTTTAGCTGCCTTTCACTTTCTTTGTCCGCTTGTGATTTTCTATCAAAAAACTAGTTTGGGGCCTCAGTGGTGGATCACTGACGGAGTGTATGCCAGAGGCCCTGGGCACCATCCTCAGCATCACAGAACCCACAGGCTGGGCTTGCTGAGAGATAATGAAGAGAACTTCTGAAAATGAAGGCGTGGTGGTGCACGCCTTTAATCCCAGCACTCTGGAGGCAGAGGCAGGCGGATCTCAGTGCGTTCAAGGCCAGCCTGGTCTACAGAGCAAGTTCCAGGACAGGTACCAAAACAATACAGAGAAACCGTGTCTCAAACCTCCCCCCAAAAAAACAAAATGAAAATGAAACCTCCTCTCTGACTTGTGCTTCAGCTTGGTCTGTTCCCCTCTGGACTGTCCTCACTGCTTCCCCACTTCTGGCTGGGCCAGTTTCACTGTGGCTGCCTGGTTTATCTCTTAATGGTGTTCCCAACTCTTTGCCCCATAGAGCTGTCTGGCACTTTCTTCTGGAGTCCATCCTTGTCCCTGCCCTGTCCTCCCAGGTCTGACTCCTTGCCATCTTGTCCAGGTTTCCCAGGGAAGTGAGGGCAGCAGGCTTCTGGAAACAGCTGTCATGGAGACGCTGACTTGGGTTTGACATGAGAGGCCCCCAAGCTGAACTAATAGTTGCTCTTCCTGCCATCCAGTGGTTCCAAGCTGCTTCTGCCTCTTCCAGTGTCCACGTCCTAAGACTGCCATGGGGCTCACTCTTGATGGAGCCGAGGTGGAAGGGAGCAGATCCTAAACTCCCGCAGAACACGACTCTGGTGCTGCTCACACACCCTCTCCCAGCTCTCCCAGTGTGGTCCTCCATGTCTCCAAAGGCCTTTCTTCTCACACATGTTGTAGAAAGTCTAGGTGCAAAACAGCAAAGGAAACAGATGAGCTCAAACACGAAAGGCAAGGACTTCTGACTCCGCCTCCCCGATCCCTCCTTGGTGTGGGTGCTGTTGCCATTGTGTAGGTACCCAGGTGCATGTAAGCATGTGGCTCCAGCCCACTCCGAGTTTGACCAACTGTGACCATCCTTCCATCCAGACTGACTCTGTAGAGTCACAGAGTTCTTCTGTGTGACAGGACAACAGAGTTTTGTTGTCCCCTCCGTCCGTCCGTCCATCCGTCCCTCCCTCCCTCCCTCCCTCCCTCCCTCCCTCCCTCCCTCCCTCCCTAAGGTTGTACTGTGGTCCAGGCTGGCCTCACCCCTATGATCCTCCCTCTTGAGCATTGGACAATATGCACCTTGCACCTGGGTGGCCCGTGGTGACTTAGGAAGTCTCCTCTTGTTGGCCTAGGCCACTGTGAATGCCTCTGTCAGGTCATGCTGTGGGGACGGGTGTTCTTGTTCCCATGGGCCTGACTCACATTCCACAGGCTGAACCCTTAAAGCAGAACACAGGCCAGGCTGGCTTACTTCTTTCCTCTTTTTCTTTTCCTCCCCTCCCCTTGCCTTCCTCCCCCTCTCCTCCCTCCCCTCCCCCGCTCCTCCTTTCCCCTCTTCCATTTTCTCCTTTTCTTTTTTAAGGGAGTGCTTTTTATATTTGTTTATTTTTTACATTTGTTGATTTACGTGTGTGTGTGTGTGTGTGTGTGTGTGTGTGTGTGTGTGTGTGTGTGTGTGTGTGTGTGTGGTGCACGCTGTGTGTGTGGAGGTCAGAGGACAACTTTCAGAAGTTCTTTTTTTTCAGTGTGATCCTGGGGACAGAACTCAGGTCGTCAGATATGTGCAGGTGCTCTTACCCACTGAGCCGTCTCACGCCGTCTTTGGATACATTTGATACATGTTTCCTTTTCCTTGCACTCACCCCCGTCTTTGGATACATTTGATACATATTTACTTTTCCTTGTACTCACCCCCGTCTTTGGATACATTTGATACATATTTACTTTTCTTTGCTTCTAGACGCTGCAGCAACAAGAATGCAAACTTCTCTACAGCCGAAAAGAAGGACAGAGACAAGAAAATAAAAACAAAAACAGATACAAAAACATCCTGCCCTGTGAGTATCAGTGCCCTGCCTCAGTAGCAGTCTGCCTGGGGTCACACGCTGGCTAACAGATAACCAGCCCTAATGCGGACAGATGTCCTCCTGATGCCAGTAAAGCTGTAGGAGGAGAGGCCCTCTGCGGTCACCTCTTGTTCATTAATTCCTGCTCTACCTCCATGTAACAACCTCAAGGATGGGGGGGGGGGGCGCGGACGACAAGGCACGTGCCTCAGGTCTGAGAGTTGTGTCTGTGAGTTAGGGGTAGGTGCCGCTCCTCTGCGCCTTTTGCTGGCTCAGCTTCTGCAGATAAGGGACCTTGTGAGTACCACCAAGCTGGGCCCCCTGTAGTATGCACCCACTGGCAGAGAGCAGAGGCCCTCAGTGAGGACCCCATCACTACACAGGTTGGAACTCATCTCTCTGTGGGGGTGACTCTGCTGTTGCACATCTTGATGTGACCTGATCTGTAACTAATGTGGACACTGAGCAGGGTGTTTTGTTTTGTTTTGGAGTGCTGGGGATTAAACCCCAGGCCTTCCACACTGCCAATGCGCTACATCTCCAGCCCTCTTTGTATATTTATTTCTGTGTGTGCGTGTGTGTGTACCTTTGTGTTCATGTATACTAGTGTGCGACTATATGTGCATTCATGTGGAGACCAACCCCAGCCCTCTTTGTACATTTATTCGTGTGTGTGTGTGTGTGTGTGTGTGTGTGCGCGTGTGCGTGCGCGCACGCGTGTACACCTCTGTGTTTGTGTATACTTGTGTTGGGTACATGTGCATGTGTGTGGAGTTAGAGCATGACCTTGGGTGTTGGTCCTTGGGTGCCATCTTCTTTCCTTTTGAGACAGTCTCTCATTGACCAGGAGCTCCACTGTTAGGCTAGGGTTGCTCGTCAGAGAGCCCAGGGATCTGCCTGTCTGCACTTTGCTAGGCTGGGCTTAGAAGCATATGCTGTTAATGCCCAGCTTTTTGTTGTTGTTATTTTATTGTTGTTTTTGTTTTATTATTTATTTCTTTTTTTTTTTTTTTTTTTTTTGGTTTTTTCGAGACAGGGTTTCTCTGTGTAGCTTTGCGCCTTTCCTGGAACTCGCTTTGGAGACCAGGCTGGCCTCGAACTCACAGAGATCCGCCTGCCTCTGCTTCCCGAGTGCTGGGATTAAAGGCGTGCGCCACCACCGCCCGGCTTTATTATTTATTTCTAAAACAGGGTTTCTCTTTGTAGCCCTGGCTGTCCTGGAACTCACTCTGTAGACCAGGCTGGCCTCGAACTCACAGAGATCCACCTGCCTCTGCCTCCCAAGTGCTGACAATGCCCAGCTTTTAAAAGTGGGTTCCGAGGATCGAACTCGGGTCTTCATGCTTGAATGGCAAGAACATAGAGACTGAACTTAAACACCCAGCCCTCTTTTTTCCTTTTATTTTGAGAGAGGGTCTCACTAGTTTGCCCAGGCTGGTCTTGAACTTACTCGGTAGCTCAGGCAGATCTTGAATTTGCTTTGCTCCTGCCTCTACCTCTTAAATATCTGGGACCACAGACGTGCACCCGAAGGCCCAGCTGAAGCAGATGTTCTTTTCTCGCCCCATCTTGTTTTATGTGCATGTGTGTTTTGCCTGGATGTCTGTGTGCACCACGTGCAGGAAAGGAGGCATTCTTAACTTTCCTCGTCTCACGAGCTCGTTTAGCAAGGTTGCCAGTGGGAGAAGCAGTCACTCAGGCCCTGAAAACAGTGTTCTTGGCATCTTTTGATGATGCAAGATCTGCAGGGTGGTCTGTGCAGGCTTTCATGGGGGAAAGAACATTTAGAACGTCAGTATAAGTACATCCTTTATCTAAAAGAAGAGAAAAGAAAGCCAAATCTGATGCACAAATTGACAGAGCTTTCTGTAGATGTGTGCCTCTGGGTGTGGAGGGGTTCTGCTGGACTGCTGGAGCAGAATTGGAAAGCATTACCTTCACAGTTCAGCTGATCAAAGCTGCCTCATAAGTTTTTTTTTTTCTTTTTTCTTTTTTTTTTTGTGTGTGGTTTTTCGAGACAGGGTTTCTCTGTGTAGCTTTGGTGCCCGCCCTGGAACTCACTCTATAGCTCAGGCTGGCCTCGAACTTACAGAGATCTGCCTGGCTCTGCCTCCCGAGTGCTGGGATTAAAGGTGTGTGCTACCACTGCCCAGCTCATGAGTTCTTATAAGCTCTGTGTGTGTGTGTGTGTGTGTGTGTGTGTGTGTGTTCTATGTGGCTATCTGACTGGAGGTGAGGATGGGAGGGGAGGAGGCGTTGCTCTCATGGGAAAAGCAAACAGGAGTTTGCAGAGAGGTGCGTGGAGCTGTAGAGGGGTTCTGGTGACCTTGAGGAGCCTCATTTTGTTTCTAAGTTTTCTCCTCTTAGAGCTCTGCTGCTTCTCTCTGTAAAGGGCAGCTATAGGAAAAGCTGAAGGAAGCAGTTGCTTACCATTTCTCAAATGACCTGCCTGCTGCTGTGTTAATTAATGATCCAATCAGATGTTTCCACTGAGCCTTTTTCTTTAATGTTGGTAAGGCAGGCTTTGAACTTGTGATTCTCCTCTTTCATCCTTCTGAGTAGATTCCAGGCCTGCAGTGTCCTATGAGCCCTGTGCTAATTCCTATCGTAAAATGTTTTTTATACAGCACTCAGATTTTTATACCAACAATGTATTTTTGTACAGATGAGGACAACTACATGAATCCTGTCTTACAGATACTGTTTTGCACTCTGCCTCTTCACTCTGCCTTTTATTATGGAGCATTTGAAGTAGATTAACAAGCAGAAGCTGAGCGTACCTGTTGACTGGCTTCAGCAACAGCCAGCTTGTGTGCAGCCTGGTTTTGTCTCTGCTCTGACCCACTTCTTTCCCTAGATGACCTTGAAGATCTTAGACATCATTGTTGGTACTTTAATCTTCTTTTTAAAAATAAAAACCAGCTGGGGATATAGCTCAGTGGCACAGTGTTTGCCTGGCATGCTCCGGGCCCTGGGTTCAATCCTTTACTACCTTTACTACCAAACCCAAACAGGAAACCTTGTAGACTGATGAGAAGTTACAACAGTGAAGTAGAAGGTTCTCAGCACCCGATGCCTGCCTCTCCGTGGTGAATCCTGCACCCACAGCATCATAGAGAAAGCGCCGGGGCACGTCTTGTCACTTTCCCGTTGATCTTGTGAAGGACTTCCCTTAGGCTGGCTGGCTGGAGGCTGCCCGGCTGGTACTGGAGCTCTGGGCTGACTGGCTGTCATCTTTTTCTCCTCAGTTGATCACACCAGGGTCGTCCTGCACGATGGGGATCCCAACGAGCCTGTTTCTGATTACATCAACGCGAACATCATCATGGTAAGCTTGATTCGCACTGTTTTCTGTCATATGTCGCTAGTGTCTTTGTGTGCCCGTGACACCGTCTTTCAAATGTTTGAGGCTTTTCTTCCTAATTTCTAGCCTGAATTTGAAACCAAGTGCAACAATTCAAAGCCCAAAAAGAGTTACATTGCCACTCAGGGCTGCCTGCAGAACACGGTGAATGATTTCTGGAGGATGGTGTTCCAGGAGAACTCTCGAGTCATTGTCATGACCACAAAGGAGGTGGAGAGAGGGAAGGTATGCACTGTCATCTTTTCTGACACCACCCCCCTGCCCCCCACCACACACACACACACACACACACACACACACACACACACACACACACACTCACTCAGCCCTTTGCTCTGTGTGTGCTCAGCCAGTGTGCTCCCATTGTCCCCAGCACCTGATGAAATGTTCTTGAAGTATTTGGATGTGTGGTTCTTCTGCGCTGGGCTCCACCCCCAGCTGTGCCTTCTCACAGTAGCTCCATTTTGCTTCTTGGTGGTGCTTGATTGGATAGGTAGTGTCTTCCACTGTTAGTACACATTTGGCCTGTAGCCCTGTGTTTTGTGCTATACACAAACCGATCCTCTAGCTGCTGTGGTGTGGTTTTGCTCAGCTGAACAGTCTTGTTCTTTTCCTTCATTTCTTCGCAGACTGTGGCCTATGTTTGTCTGGATTAGATGTCAAGAGTTGTTGGGCCTCTGTGTATATGTGTTACTTTGCATCAGCCACCTAGCCACCCTCTAGAATTGTCATACCCCACCCCACTCCCCAGCCTCATAGCCTTGAGCTGAGCGCCCCATGTTCTTAGGATGCTGTGGGTTCCTAGAACTCGGTGTGCCACACCTCCAGGAAAGCAGGCATCTCCTTGAAAGAATGTGCTATCTTTGCATCATCTCAAAGTGAAATCAATTTATAGGTTTTTAATATGGAAGTGTCTTGGTTTTTGTGTTGTGGCTAGAGTTTTTGTTTGGTTATCCTTTATTGGTTTATATAAAGATTGCGTACAATTTTACAATCCTGTGTAGAAGCTAACCCGAGACAAATGGGCTCTTGGGAGTTGAGCCTGGCAGCTGAGGAGCACGTGACTGTGCAGGGTTCTGGGTGGTGCACTTCTGCGTGATGTCAGGTGTCCTGAGTTCCTGGGCAGTTACAGCTTCTCCCAGTCCTGGCTCCTGCTCGGTGGAGGTATAAGAAGTCACCTTGGGCCTGTAGCCAAGGAATCAGGTCAGCCACTGTTAGACATGTGGTTGGAAACTCCAGAGCAGACAGATCGGGCAGAGATGGGCCCGATGCTCCGCTCTGGTCCTCACATCCTTGACCCAGTCTTCCATTCACCTGGGAGTGTGCACAGCCTGTGTTCCCACCGCAGACAGAAAGCCGGACTGGGACACCTCTCCTGCACAGCTCCTCTGCAACACTCGGAAAACTGGGTAGAGGGCAGCAGCCTGCAAGTGTTGAGAGTCAGCTAAAATGTTCATCTTCAAGTCATGATGATTTTGTGTTCTCTGTAGTGACTAGTGCAGTCCTCTGAATTGATTGTCCAGAAACCAGCACTATTCCATTGGGGATGATAGAATCCTATCAGACCTGTCAAACACAGATGCACAGTTGGATTTAAAATAAGAGACCACACCATTCCATCAGCCTCTCCTGCCTCGGGGTCCTCTCTGTATTAATCACTAAGCTCTGTAGCTAGCTGTGCTCCTGTTTCTCATCACCTGCAGCTGCCCGGTGTTCTTAGTCCTCGGTGCAGATTTCCCTTGCTGATGTTGGTGGTGTTGGTTTTAGAGAGTGAGTGTCATGGGTGACTGCTGCCAGAAAGAGAGAAACAGAAGATGCTCTCTGCCCCAGCCTCATCACCTGGTAGATGCAAGCTCATCCCTCAGCTGGACAAGACCTCTTTCCTGTACATCAGTGTTACCTCTCTCAACTGCCTGCCCTGTTTTTGTTGTTCTTGGCTGTTTGTTCTTTTTGAGACTGGGTCTTGCTATATAGTTCTCATTGGGCTGGTGTTTGCTATGTAGACCAGGCTGGCCTTCAAGGTGAAGTATTCTCCTGTCTCTGCTCTCCCCCTCCCCTTTGGCCTGCTTTGCTTATTTGAATTGCTCCTTTCTGTTCTTGGCAACCTAGAGGAGGAGGCAGGCTCCTCTCCTTGCTGGTGTCCGGAGCAGGACTGGACAGTTGTTCACTGCTGTTTGGGCTTCCTTCAGGGTTTGGACATTAACAGGCTCTCTACTGGTCCCTTCCAGAGTAAGTGCGTCAAGTACTGGCCTGATGAGTATGCGCTCAAAGAATATGGGGTCATGCGTGTTAGGAACGTCAAAGAAAGTGCCGCTCATGATTACACCTTAAGAGAACTCAAGCTCTCCAAGGTTGGACAAGTAAGTATATTGTCGTATTCTAGAGACTGTGGCTTTCTGTGGCTCACAGTCATTTGTGGCGCCCCTGCCCGCACTCAACCTTTGTCCTGTGTCCTGTCACTCACTGATTGGATGGCCGTAGTGGGTGCCTCATAGGTGCTGGGCCCAGTTCAACACTGCTGTGCCTAGTGAGCAAGACAGGCACAGGTCCTGCCCTCATGGAGCTTGGAGAGATGTAGGTGAATGTGACTACCAGCCACTGGCCTTCAGCTCCTGTGATGTGTTCTAGAGTGACTGGTAAGCTGGGTTCCAGGGCAGCCAGGGCTACACAGAGAAACCTTATTTGGAAAAAAAAAGTGACTGGTACATGAGACAGGGTGGGTAGGGGAGGGTCCCTGAGGGTGACGCTTGCTGAGATGTCAAGTGGAGGAGCCATGCATGAAAGCAGAGGGAGCAGGAGCACCTGTCTGTGATCAAGGTCAGTGTGGCAGCTTTCTGTTTTTTCTCCAGACAGGGTTTCTCTGTGTAGCCCCAGCTATCCAGGAATTCACTCTGTAGCCCAGGCTGGCCTCGAACTCACAGAGTTCCGCCTGCCTCTGCCTCCCGAGGGCTGGGATTGAAGGTGTGTGACACCACCTGCTTCTGTCAGCTGTTTGTCGTGGCCTGTGGCTTGGGATTGCTCGTGGAGTGGCTGGCTCCAAAACAAAGCAGGATTTGGTTTGGAGTCATTTTTATTTCATGTTTAGAAAGGCTTAATTTGATGTCTTTGGGGACTCCAAGACGGAGGAAACCACTCTTGTCCTCGTGGATTCCATCTAAGCACAGCAAAAAGCCCTGCACACAGATAGCCATGCTTCAGGCGGATGTGCTCAGTGTGGCTTCCCCAGCTGGAGTGGGGGTGGGCCTCTCTCTGAGTGTGCCTTCTGGGCACAGGTGTTCCTTGAGCCACATACTGAAGTCCTGACTGCAGGAAAGTGGGATATAGGGCGGGAGAGCGGGGGTGGGTGGGGTGTTGAGGAAATACTCTTGGGTTAGGCCACGTTGGGAAGAATTATTTAAAAAAAAATTAGTTTAGCTTATTTATTTATGTTCATTATTATCATTTTGAGACAGGGTCTCATCTCACTCTGTATCCCTGGATGGCTTAGAACTGGCTATAGAGACAGGTTAACCTCAAAGTCGCAGATATCCTCCTGCCTCTGCCTCCCTAGTGCTGGGATTAAAGGTGTGTGCCACCAGACTGGCTGAGTATTTTTATTTTATTTTATTTTGTTTATTTACTTATTTTGAGATGGGGTCTCACTATGTAGCCTGGAACTTGCAATATAGACCAGGCTCCTCTTGAACTCACAGAAATCCACCTGCCTCTGTCTCCTGTGTGCTGAAATTAAAGATGTGCCCCACAATACCTGGCTCCTGCATATTCAAGTGTGTTTCTTTATTTTTATATGTGCATGCATGAGTGTAGGGGTGAGAGGGCAAGGGATGGGGAATGGGTCTCCTTCTACCATGTGGTTTGAAGACACTCTGTTAAGAGCTTTGAGCTTTAGTCACCACATGGAGCTTGTCTCAGTTCTTGTGCCCATTGAACAGTTGGAAAGCTGAGTGCGGGGAGGACTCTGCAGCCCTTGGATCGGGACGGGCGGGATGTGACTACTAGCCAGGAGGCCTACTAGGAGACACATTTTGTGTTAGTCTAGGCCTTTGGCCAGCTCTCCATGTCTCCAGCAGTGGGTTTTCCTGCTCTGCTTATGCCTTTTGTTGGGAACGGACTGGCAGAGAAGCAGTGCCAGGCCCCTGGGAAGGCATCTGCAGGGCATCGGGACAGTTTGGCTGTGGAAGGGAAAGAGAGACCAAAGGTGTCTTAGAACTTTGAGTCTGACTGGACAGTAGTGTTGTGTCAAATGTGAGAAAAGCCAGAAGCAGAGCTGCTGTGTGGACATCCACTTCCTTCCGGATGCACTGAGCTGAGCCTTTGACTAGGTGTGTCCATCAGGTGTCTGGACAGTTATGAGTCCATACATTGGTTCCTAGCACTGTGCTGCTTGCTGGAGACAGCTGGGGAGTAACACGGGTGTTGTCCCCCTCCCTCAAGTTACACTCCACTGTCTAGAATGCTTCGAGCCCAGGAATCACGTGCCCCCAATATGTCGCTATAGAGTGCAGTTAGGGCCAAGTCAAAGAATTCAGTGTGTTGAGATGGGCCAGGAAAGAGTTGGTATTTACCCTAGTGATGTAGGCAGCTGGAGCTGGCGCTTACCCTCTACCCTGTCGAACTGGAGGGGCTGAGGCCATTGTGGTAGAGCTTAGGACCAATTGGAGGCTGCTGCCTAGGGTGGTGAGATCGTGGGGCTTGGCTGGGGTGGTGCAGGGGGCTGGACAGCAGAGGGCTGGCTTGGGGTCCTTGTAGAGGACAATGATGGGTTTGGTGGTGAGCATAGGATGACCCACAGTCCAGACTTGCAGGGTGCGCTGCAGGAGGAGCAGCAGGGATCCTGTGGAAGTGCCTTTGAGCCATGGAAGTGCAGGTATCAGGGAAGCTGGGCAGAGGGCAGTGACCCTGTGCATTGTGGGTGGGCTGTTTGCCCTGTGGTGCTGGGAGGGCAGGAGGAACAGAGCCTAGGGCTGATGATGAGCAGAAAGGGATCTGCTTCGTGTCGAAGGGTGTGTACATGCTACAGGAGGTGTGTTCATCATGGCACACCTGTGGAGGTCGGAAGGCAGCTGTGAGGGCTTGGTTCTCCTCTACCATGAGGATTCTGAGGGTTGAACTTGGATTGTCGGGTTTGGTGGCAGGTGCCTTCGGCCACTGAGCTGCCTTGCCAGCCCTCTTGTGAGGTTTCATGATGAACTGCCAGGCTTGTGAGGGTTTCTGAGTAGCAGGCGGTCTCTTTCCCTTGGTGCTAGTGAGAAGCCATTTGTCTTGCCCACTCCCCTCCCCCTCTCCTTTGAAAGGTGTGACTTGTCTCTGGGTACTGAGACAATGCCGCAGGTCTTGCTCCATCTTGCTTACCAGGAGGTTTTGAAAGGGAGATCTGGGAGATGTTGGCACACATGTGCTTTTACCCTGACCTGGAGGCTGACATGGACCCCCCTGGCTCCTGCCTTGATGATGACAGATCACCTGCTTGTACAGCACTGATGTACAGAAATGCCTTGGCTTAGAAGGGGTGTTGCTGCACAGTGAGGCTGTGCATGCTCCATTTCTCTTGCTGGCCTCTCTGTGACCCATGGAACTATCTGAGTTTCAGGTCACTTAGTAACGACAAGGATAGTTTTCCACGACATCGGCAAATTAAATGCGTGTAGCATACAAGAGAGTTTTTAATCACGGCAAGAGTCCTGGATGTGAGAAAATTCACCAGTGTTGGTTGCTATTGTAGCCTCCCTTCCTCTGTCCTTCTGTCTTTCCCTTCCTCTGTCCCTCCCTCCCTCTCTTCTTCTTTCCTTTTTCTGTGGTCCCATGGTCCTGGTGCCTCTGTTTGTCCCTGGCCATTGTCACTCAGAAGAGCCAGGATGTCCTCAGTCCCCAGTTACTTCCTGCTTGCTGGGAGAAGCTTTGTTCAGCTCCTTTAATCCCTCGGTGGGAGAGATTTCTTTGCAAGTGGATTTGAGGGTTTGAGTTATGCAACGGTGACTCTCCAGTAAGGGGCCGCCTGGGATTTGAGCCCAGGTCTCACCATCTCATTCACAGAGCCCATCTTCCAGCTGGGACAGTGCTGTCATGGGCGTGAGTGCCTGTGTGAGCCACCAAGGGCGACAATACGAGAGGACAGTGGAGCAAATGCGTGAGAGGAGCCAGAGTTGGCCAGGCTGCCATCCTCAGGGACCTCAGCCGCCTCTGGAGTTGAGTGCCACCTGACTGAGGAAGAAGGGGAACATGGTCTGTTCTGGTGACTCAGAGCTGCGTTTTGGCTACGGTTAATAGAGAACAAATTGCCATGCTGGATGTCTTAGATCGCCTGATAGGCAGACGCTGCCTCCAGGCTGGCCCATTAGCTCTTGGAGAAGTGCTCCTGGGAGCCAGAGATTCTGGGCTTTCCATTCTCGAAGGTGCTAGGAAAGCTTAGAGGCCTTCCTCAACCCTTGATTTATTTAATTCTGTTCTGGCTTTTCTTGGCTCTACTCCAGGGAAATACAGAGAGAACCGTCTGGCAGTACCACTTTCGGACCTGGCCGGACCATGGCGTGCCCAGTGACCCTGGAGGTGTGCTGGACTTCCTGGAGGAGGTGCACCACAAGCAGGAGAGCATCGTGGACGCAGGCCCTGTCGTGGTTCACTGCAGGTGACAACCCAGCTTGCTTCTTAAAACTCGGCTGTGCGGGTCTGTTCTCTCTGGAGGTGTGACCCACCCTTCCCAGCACTCTGCTTGTCCAGCACCCAGTCACTTCCCATGTGGGACTCCGTGGAGGCTGCTCCAGGGTCACCACGGCAGAGGGTGTGGGCTTCGTGATTAGGTTTCCTAAACTCTCATTCACACGTTGAACCAATCCAGAAATGAGTGAAGCTTTCATTATTCAGTGGTTTGTTTTTGTTATTGTTGTTTTGTGATAGGATCTCACTATGTAGGCCAGGTTGGCTTTAGACTTGCAGTGACTCCCCTGCCTCTGCCTCCCAAGTGCTGGCCTGTTCAGTTCTTTTTTGTTGTTATTTGTTTTGTTTTTAAATCACCATTAATGTAGGTTTTGCAGCTAGATGGCTATTTAAGAAAGAAAGGAACACACATTTCTTCCTTCGAATGTCTTCTGTGGCCTTTTAAGACAGGAAGCCACGAGTCTGTGGGCAAGTTTCTCTGCTCAGAAGAGCCATAATATGTCCAACTGTTTTCAAGTAAAAGTTGCATTAAACTTGGGAGTAAAGATGTAAAGATGTCATGTATTGCTCAGCAGTGTGAACCTCATGGCAAACCCCCAAGAGACATTGTCACCCCCCATTCCATGGATGAGGAAGCAAGGATACCCTACAGGCCCATATCAGGAACAGAGGGATCTGACACCTTAGGAATGGGGTGGAGAGGAGTTGGTGTGTAGATGTGACCAGCATCCTCTAGACCCACAGAGCAGAGCCTGTGGACATTAATAGCTTGGTTCGTAGTGTGAAACCCCCACAATGACTCCAGCATCCCTGCTATTTATTCTTCTCCCCACAGTGCTGGAATCGGCCGGACAGGAACATTCATCGTGATTGATATCCTTATTGACATCATTAGAGAGAAAGGTAGGTCATCTGGAGGACAAGAAGCCACAGTTCCTGTTTCTAGTTTGTAAAAGGAGAGTGCCAGGGAAAATAGCCTGGGAGAGAGAATTCACAGGAGAAAGAGATGGTCATTTAAATATGATGAGATTCACTTCCAGTGAGTTCTCCTGTTCAGTTGTTACTATAAAACAGTGTTCTAGATTTCTGTCCCCATCACCGTGCCTTCTGTTACCCGTGTCATGAGGTCCCCAGCCACTCATTCCCTGCCTGTGTGTGTGGGGGGGTGGCACTTTGTCCTAGCAGCTCCTGGCATTGTCCTGAGCATTGGCTCAGGAGTCCTGAGCATCCCCCATGGCTCGTGGTGTGGGAAGGACTAGCTCTGTGCCCCTTCCTGCTGTGGAGAGTGGGTGCCCAGCAGCTCAGCCTGGCCTCAGCACTCCTCCAGCTTCAGGGTCTTTGCTTTGCAGGTGTGGACTGCGACATCGATGTTCCTAAAACCATTCAGATGGTTCGGTCCCAGAGGTCAGGGATGGTCCAGACAGAAGCACAGTACAGGTTCATCTACATGGCCGTCCAGCATTACATCGAGACGCTGCAGCGCAGGATTGAGGAGGAGCAGGTATGGAACGAGGGGCTGGCACATGGGCTCAGCTCCAGTCCAGGCTGCCTGGACTTGTGCTCTTAGAGGCAGAGCACCGGCTCTTTATCTGGAAAAGGTTAACCTTCCCACCCCAGTGGTCTCTCTGGAAGTTATAGTCATCCTTTGCCTCGTAGCTCAGGGAAGTGTGGTGCCATCATCATGAGCTGACAGTCATCGCTGTGCCATACAGAAAGAAAGTGACTTTAACATGCCAGGCTTAGAACTCAGGGCCTACAGTTTCCAGCCTGCTTCAGCTTTGATCTAGGCTGGTCTATCCTGATTCCGTCTTGTAAAATGAATGCCTTGTTCTTAATAGAGCATGGCAGTTTGAGCCACTAATTTGGCTGCATTGAAACAGTGAATTTCAATTTTAATAAGCTGTGCATAATGAAGAGTGTGCAGTTGGAGCCTTTCCATGTGAGGCTATTCATAACAGGCACAAAGCGGAGTTAATTAGGATGCGCTGAGCCGAGGGAGATGAGGAGAGCTGTTCTTTTGGGGCGCTTTGCTTATTCCCCTCCCGAACCCCATTGTGTTGCAGCAGATGGGTGGTATCTGAACACCAGCCACATTTGTCCTTTTTACTGCCGTTGCCGTTCAGAAAGCCCAGGAGAAGGGGACTCAGTGCAGGTCACAATGTGGCAGGCTGTCTCTTAATGGGTAGCTTTATTATTATTATTATTATTAATTTTTTTTTTTTTTTTTGGTTTTTCGAGACAGGGTTTCTCTGTGTAGCTTTGCGCCTTTCCTGAAACTCGCTTTGGAGACCAGGCTGGCCTTGAACTCACAGAGATCCGCCTGGCTCTGCCTCCCAAGTGCTGGGATTAAAGGCGTGCGACACCACCGCCCGGCGCTTTATTTATTTTTTTTTTTATTTTTTTTTTTTTTTTGGTTTTTCGAGACAGGGTTTCTCTGTGTAGCTTTGCGCCTTTCCTGGAACTCACTTGATAGCCCAGGCTGGCCTCGAACTCACAGAGATCCGCCTGGCTCTGCCTCCCAAGTGCTGGGATTAAAGGCGTGCGCCACCACCGCCCGGCTTTTATTATTTTTTTTTAAAGACCATCTCACTGTGTAGTTCTGGCTGGCCTGAAACTCACTATGTAGACCAGGCTGGCCTTGAACTCATAGAGGTGCTGCTGCCTCTGTCTCCCAAGTGCTGGATGAAGGTGTGTGCCACTGTACCTGGCCTGGAGCAACAGAACCACATCTTCAGCCTTGGGAGCCAGAGGGAAGTGTCCCTTCCTGAGCTTAGGTACTCACCCAGACACCTGTGTCAGATGGTTCATTGTGCACACATTGAGAAATCAAGTGTGCATACATATGTGAGGTCATGTGATTGATTGACAGCCACCTTTCCTGAACTTCAGTGTTTTAAATCTGAATTCAACGTAAGCAAACCCAGGGCTTCATGCACAGTAGGCTAGCACTCCACCACCGATCTGCACCCCCAGACCTCTAATGTAGATGGTTACTCTGGGGTTCTTTTATACACGTCTTCCAGTTACATTTAATTGGGGCCATTAATAGTTTAAAAAGAGATGCTCAGAGAATAAATGTAAAGAGGTGGCACCATGGTTGCTAAGTCTGGTCAGGAACATCTCAGGAGCATCCTGTCATCTTGCCAGGAGTTCTCTGTTTGACTTGGATTTGGATTTGTGTTAGAATTGAGAGGTAGAAACAGGTGGATCAGAAATTGAAGGTTATCTTTGGCTATGTATTATTGAGTTCCTGGTCCGCGTGAGCTGTATGAGACTTGGTTGCAAAAGTAACAAAACAACAATGAAAAAGAAACCACCGATACACAAAGAACACCCCCCCCCCACCACTTATTTTTAAATTGAATTTAAATACGTGGGAGCCTGTGTCCATGTATTGGTCTGTGCATATTAGTACAGGTGCGCATGGACCCTCAGATCCCTTGGAGCAGGATGGGTACTTGCACTGCCCGGCATTGCTGAGGGGGAGCTGCGCTTCACTCTGCAGAACTTTGCAATCTCACCCACTGCCATGGCTCCCTCTCAGGTCAAACAGATCCTTGAATTAAGCAACAGGACAAAACTAATTCAGGATAATGAGTTATTTCGAAATGTAGTCATTTTCCAATTTAGGATGAGTTAAGGCCCTTTGGGAGTAAAAGAATTTGCTAAAGAAGGTTAAATGAAAACAAGAAAGTGACAGTTGGATGGAGAGCCGTGGGAAAGGAAGGGGAGAGAGAGACAGAGACAGAGGCAGAATGTACATACTTGCCAGCAAGAAAGAAATACAGGCGGGGGGTGTCGGGGACAGAGCGTAGGGGACAGTCATGAGTGTCTATGTATAACAGGCCTCTTGTCTCTGTGGTTTGGTTGAGAGGTTGTTTTTAAATTTTTCCGTTTATAGTAGTAAGTACTTTATTTGCAAAAGCAGTGTATTTCCTTTACCCAACTTATCTGAATGTTAAGATGTTAACACAAGCAATCATTCTCTCTTTAAACTTTAAAATGTATGTAATATTTAAAAAGGGAATGTTTAGAAGTTACATGTATTTATACCTCTTTGCTTCTAATGTGTTAGTATGTATTTTCAAAAAAAATAAGGACACTCTGTTACCTAGTCATGGTTCAGTTACCAAACTGAGAAGCAGACACTCATAGAAAGCTCTCTGCAACCTCAGGTCACCTGGGGCTTAGCCCAGTGTGGGAGCACCCACCAGGATTCTGGGTCCATCCCAATACCACACACAAGTGTACCAGGGGCAGCCACACACTTCTGTAACTCAGGCACTTGGGGGCTGAGGCAGGAAGGCTGAAAATCCCAGTCTAGCCTGGGCTACATTAGTCCTTCTCTTGATAAAACCAAAACCAAGCAAGAAACCAAAAATACGGCCTGGAAGATTAAGTAGCTCAAAGATTCAGGACATGCACTGCTTGTGTAGAGCACCCATGTCAGGAGGCTTCAAACTGTAGTTAACTTCGGCTCCAGGGGATCCAACCCTTTCCCCCCCAGTTCTGACCTCCTCAGGCACCTGGTCTCACGTGCACGTGCACACGCACACCTGCACATACACACCCTCCCAGAAAGGTAAAACAACTCACACACCACATTCAGACTTTACAAGCTGTCCCCCCTGCAGTCAGCCACCATGTGTGTGGCTGTCATGTTTCTTTGCTTGTCTTTCATGTGAGCAGTTTCTCTGTATCGCTGTCACTCTGCCCTCCACAGTTGGGAAGCTGCCAGTTGTTCCCTCTCCTCAGACTCCAGCCATTCTGTGTTGTGCCCATTGCTGAGTTGATTTAAGATGATCAAGTTAGCTTTGCTCCTTGAAGGTAACAGGTTTCTTCACTTGGGAGTTATTACAGGAGTCACGTGCATGTGCGCATGAGTGTACACACACACACACACACACACACACACACACACACACACACACACCGATACAAGTACACACAGACACACACTGAGACTCATACATATACATCCCACTTGGGGAATAAAAGATTTGGACACACTCAACTGAGGATGTGGCTCAGCGGCATAGTACTTAATCAGCATGGCCTAAGCTTTGGACTGATGTCCACCATGTGGGGGAGGGATGTTTGAGGCTGGAAGCAGCCTAGTTCTCACTGTACTTTTTTTGCCTACTAGTTATACATTGATACATACATATATACATATATGTGTATGTACTTTTTGTTTGTCGAGACAAGGTTTCTCTGTAGCTCTGGCTGTCTTGGAACTTGATTTGTAGACCAGGCTGGCCTCAAATCACAGAGACCCACCACCTGGTCTTTTTTTTTTTTTTAATGAATGAATGAATGAATTTATTTTTATGTGCCTTGGTGTTTTGCCTGCATGTATGTCTGTTTAAGGGTGTTGTGTCTCCTGGAACTGGCATTACAGACAGTTGTGAGCTGCTATGTGGTTGCTGGGAATTGAATCTGGGTCCTCTGGAAGAGCAGCTAGTGTTCTTAACCACTGAGCGGTCTCTCCAGCCCCAGTAATTCTTGCCTAAAAACATTAGCATAGCATTTGACAAATGACACTTGCTATTTCTTCAATTATCTCCCTTGTTTTGGTGTGTGGAAACACTGGAATGATCGCCATGGTCAGGTGGATCCTTGCGCCCAGCACCCCGCAGCCCACTTCTTTCTGTGTGTGCTGAGACATTGGCATCTACTCTCGTCAGAGTTCAGGTTTGCTCTGCCTTGTCCTGTCTAGTGCTGAGCATGAGGCCTCCAGCACCTACATGTTACGTCTGAGGATTTGAACCTGTGACCAGTGTCTCCCCACCACCAGTCTCTGACCACCCCTCACACCACTCCCCTCACTCCAGTCACAGTTTCTAGGAGTCTGTCAGGATCCATGGAGTGCTTGGCTTTCTGTGTCTGGCACCTCTCACTCAGCTTGAGGACCTCCAGGTTCACCTGTGTTGTTGCAGATGGGTTGCCGCCTTAAGCTCAACGCTGGTCCATTGTGTGTGTGTGCATGCGTGCACACAAGGGCTTCCTTCTTTGCCTGTCTGCCTTCCTCCTTCCTTCCCTCCCTTCCTCCTTTCCATGACTGGAAGCTTATGACATAACTTGGTCACAACTTGGTGGATGGGGAAACAGGGACAAGACCAGAAGCAGAGCACCTGGGGACCTACTTCTTCCTGCTGGTCACATGTCAAAGGTTCTGTCAGCTCCCCAAACAGCATCACCAGCTGCGGGGGTGGGGTGGGGGGGTGGGGGGCAGGGGCAGGTGATCAAACGTATGAGGCTGTGGGCACCTTTCCATTCAGGCTGGAGCAGGGCCCTGGGAAGGCTGCACACTATTCTGTGGAAGCCATTGGGCAGTAGGAAGCAGAGGAGTGGCATAAGATGGCTTTGATTTAAGAGAGGACCCTGCCTCCTGTGGGACGGTGGACACCAGGCTTGGGTACTTGGAGACATAACTGATGATGGTTTGTTCAGGGTGGGGGGCTGAATGGGGAGAATCAGAGTAGTGAGATTCCTTGATGGGGTGTGGAAGGAGTCATGGTTCTGTGTCCCAGCCAGGGGCACCTGCCCTCCCATCCTGCTCTTGGCTGGGAGGCAGCTTGCCTTTAGAGTTTAGGAAAGGTCAGAGTGACTCCCCATGGAAGACGCTTCACTGCAGATGGTTTTAGCCTTTCTCCCCGAGCATCAGTTGACCATAGATGAATTGCAGACATGTAGCCTTGGTCTGGGGGTTTCCTAGGTACTGGGAACACAGAGCCTCCCCTCACCTGGAAGTAAAACAGAACCCCTTCTCCCCATGGGGCAGCCACAGCGCTAAGACAGGCCCATCTGGCTTATCTCAATGTTCTTCCTAAATGGCTGGAAGACTGAGCTTCTCGGGCTGCTCTCACCCTCCATCCAGACAGTTCTGCCCTACCGGCTCAGTTATTCCTCCCTAGAAAACGCTGGCCATTTCCTGCAGAGACAGTTGGTTTTGGCTTCAGGAAGGTTCTGAATAAGGAGAAAGTGGGTGGCTGCTGTCAGTGGGAGTGACGTCACTGTCATGCACGGTGAGAAAGTTCTGCAGATCCTCTGGGCAGCGCGCACGTAGTCGGGACATTACATTCGGCTGAAGCTTTGATGGGGTGGAGCCTCCCCCCCCTCCCCCATTCCAGTTTCCAGTGTCAGAGATAAGATTTTAGACAAGGTCTCTTTCTTTCTTTTAAAATAGTTATATTTTATTTATAATTCTGTGTATTTGTAGGTGTGTACACATACATGCAAGTGCCTGTGAAGGTCAGAGGTGTCAGACCCGGAGCTGGAGTTATAGGCAGGTGTGATCTATCTGAGGAGGGTGCTGGGACTTGAACTCTGGTCCTCTGCAGGAGCCGTGAGCTCTTGCCTGCCGCCACTCTCTCCAGCCCAGAGACTAGGTTAGAGTCCTGTTCTTCCTGCCTCCTCCTCCCAAGTGCTGCGATCATGTGTGCACACAGCCACGCCCGGCACAGCCGCTGTGGCTTTTTTTTCTGTCCTAGGGTGTGTTCTCACCCTCCTTTGGCTTGTTCCCCCAGAGTGAAGGGAGAGTCGTCACCGAGGAGCCACCTCCTGGACTGGATTTGTTGTCCCAGAATGCCTTGTTGCCTTTGTTCTGGGAGCACATCCATGTGTGGTGCTCAGTGGTCATTGCCACTCCTGACACAGTGCAGCCGTCAGTCAACATCCAAGGAGACTTAGACACGAGGTCTGCCGAGTCTCACGTTCCTTGTGTGAAGGCTTAGCTTTGCAGAGAGCCTGCTCAGTCCTCCCATGGCCTTTATGTAGCCCAGGCAGGCCTTGAATGTGGGAAAAGTCTGCGCATGCTCAGCACAACATTGTCTGTGGATGTTCTTGATTCATGGTTGAATCTGTAGGAGCCACAGATATAGAGGGTGACTGTATGAAGTTGATAATGCTCCTCTCACCTCCTTTGCCTTAGCCCAGAGGGGGCTGGGGACACTAGCAATGGCCCTGCAGAATGTAGGCCTGTGCTGTGGTGTCTCTCTACAGGGACCCCCTCCTCCAGGGCTCACCTGAGCTCCTGGGCCCAGCACTCCTTCCTGAGGAGTGTGTTGCAGTGTGAGTAGCTTGTGTCAGGTGTCAGCTGCCTCCTTCCTTTGGCCCAGCCTCCGTGGTGGAGCACGGCCCTGTGATCTGCAGGTTGGTGTGCTGTGCTCGATGGTCTGTGTGCTAGACCTCTGCTCCTGAGTAGCTGTGGGTCTGCTGGGCTCCTGTCAGTCTCCATCTGGTGATGTAGAGACAGTGCAGCTGAGTTTCTCTTTGACATCTCCACCCCATCACCTGTCTCTACCCCGGAATCCCAGAGCAACCCCAAGCTCTGTGCTGTATTTACTTGTTTGTTTCTGTAGAGACAAGGTCCCATTTAGCCCAGACTTGCTTCCCACTCACTGTGAAGTTGAGAATGAACTTGAACTTCTGATCCTCCCTGAGCTCCACCTTCCTAGTGCTGAGATCATGAGTGGTTAATATGCTGCTGGGGATGGAAGCCAGGCTACCTATGCTGGGCAGGCAGGCACTCACCAGCTGGGCTACGTCTTTGTTCCCAAAGTGACTTCCTTTGTTTAAAGTGCAAGTACATGATCTGGAGAGGAGGTTCAGCCACCCTGAGCCCTTGCTACTCTTCCAGAGTTCCTGAGTTCAGTTCCTGTCACCCACGTTGGCAGTTATAGCAACAGCCTGTAACTCCAGCTCAGGGAATCCAGCGCCCTCTTCTGGCTTCCAAGGGCACTTGAACACGTGTGGCATGCACACAAACAGACACACACGTACATACATAAATGAAACACAAACATAGACATCTCGAAACTGCAGAGACCATTGTTCACTAGTTCAGTTGTTGGCCAGCGGGACCCAGTGTCTTATTGTTCCTCAGCTTGTGTTTTCCACTGAGCATTTTAGATGAACCTGTTTGCACACTGTCCTCTCCTGCACACTGTTTCGCTGTATGGACGTATCCTGTTCTTTTGTTCCCTTGGGCATTTATAAAGAGCATCATATTCCAACCACCCTGTCCAGTTCTTAGGCTCCAGTGCAAGGGTTTCCCAGTGAGACACAGATGCAGATGCTCATCCAGTACATGCTTTTTCACTTTCTCTAAAGATTAGCTAGTTAGTGCCACTTTCACTCTTGAGAATCATTGGCATCTTTTCTTTCCTCCAATGCCGGGGGTGGGGGGGGGTGGGGGGGGGTGGGGTGTCAAGCCCAGAGCCTTGCACAGCCAGGTAGGAAGCACTTACTGCTAATTTTGTCTCCAGCCTCCCAGTTTAACCTCTCTGAGCAGCTGGTGGCGGTTCCCAGGTGTATGCCAGTCTTCAGTATGGCCGCCCTGCCTTCCTAGCAGTACTAAGGTCAGGGCGGTGCCGCTGCTCTCGTGACGGATTCCGCTTTGAGAAATGGCAGTCTGCAGTGAATATGAGAAAAGGCGACCGGCCAGTGGGGGCCAGTGGGGTGGTGCAGCGGGTAAAAGCACCTGCTGTGCACACCTGACGACCCAAGTCCTCAGTGCCATGACAGGAGGAGACGCTGACTCCACGGGCTTGTCGTCTGCTTTCTACATGTGTGTGATGTGTGAGCCCTCACACATCACACATACGTACAAAGACATCCTGAGATGAGCTTCCATTCCTGTTGATTTTCTTTGTTGGTTTCCTTGCCTCCCCACATCATTAGAGTCAAAATAAATTTGAAGGTGCTGTGATCTTTTCTGATGTGTATTAGGAGGTAGGCTGCAGGGTTGGGGGAGTGTCTCAGTGGCAGGGCACACACCCAACCATGTGCAAGGGCTCTGGGTGACATCCTCAGTGCTAAAGGAATAAAGTGCATTATTGTGCCTTCCATCCCTGCATGCATTTCTACTTGGAGTGAATCCCTTTCTTAGTGTCTACTGAACGTGGTGGAGTGGGCACACCCCCGAAGTGATTAGAGCTCCGTGCAAGGGCAGCAGGAACTCTGTGCTTAGGAGCAGGGCCTCTGGCCTGGCTCAGGGGGCAGTTTCTGTGTTCCTGCAGCTCCAGGAGCTCTGGGGGACTCTGGTCCCAGAGCATCCCTCCGGAGGGGGCTGGGTCGAGGAGGAGACACGTTCCTGACAGTCTGATCAGCATGTCAATGTTCTTAAGATTTTGACCTGTCCATCTGTCTCTTTTCCTTTGATAAAATAGCTTTTTGTTCTTGTATTCTTTTAGGACACATACTCACAGACCTTCTTACCTGTATTTTTCCAACTTTCAGAAAAGCAAGAGGAAAGGACATGAATATACCAATATTAAGTATTCCTTGGTGGACCAGACAAGTGGGGATCAGAGCCCCCTGCCACCCTGCACCCCAACACCACCCTGTGCAGAGTAAGTAGTGATGTGACAACGTAGCTCTGGTAAAAGCTAACAGCAGATGCTTGCTGCCCGTTGATAGTGCCATGGGGGTGGTTGGGGTTGAGGGACTCTCTAGGGACTGTGTGGACAATGTCTAAAGGTTCCTAAACAGTAGGCAGGTGCTGGGCTTTCCAGACTCTGTGTGGCCCTGAGCCTGTCAGGTCAGGGTTCTCTGGGGAAATCTAATCTTCCTTTTGCAGGGGGCATTATTTCAATGCAAGGAGCTGGCCCTTAAAATGTGTTGTTACTCCTTGACAAGTAAGAATAAGTTCTCTATTCATGTGTGGACATGACTATGGTCTGCCAATCTTCCTGCCAGTCAGGTTTTCTTTTTTTTTTTTCCGAGACAAGATTTCTCTGTGTGTAGCCTTGGCTGTCTCACTCTGTAGACCAGGCTGTCCTCGAACTCACAGAGATCTGCCTGCCTCTGTCTCTTGAGTGCTGCGATTAAAGGCGTGCGCCACCACTGCCCGGCCCAGTCAGGGTTTTTAAACCAAGGGTCAGAAAGCAAGAGCCCACAGGCCTAGCTTTGCTTTTTAAAGGAGTTCTTATAAAAACACAAAAGGGCAGCCATCCCAGTAGGAAATGACGGGCAGTTATGAGTCGGCATGCTGGAAAAGAAGTAATGGGCGGCTTAGGGACACACAGGAAGGACTCACTTTCCTTGGTGGTCAGTGAACCGGAAGGGAAAGCTCGAAGCTCTTTCCAAATGCAGTCAGAAAGCAGTGTCCAGCAGTGGTGAGGACAGCTGTGTTTTCAAGGAACAGCTGTCATACAGCTGCAATTCAAGCACCTTGTTCAGCTCCCATGACAGCTTGCCCTGGTAACTACAGCCAGAGCCTTAAGAGCACGGTGGCCTCTGACCTTGCACCTGGGAGAGTTCCTCTTATGGAAGCGCTCAGATCTTGGGAAAGCTTTTCCTCCAGAGGCATTCAGCATGATGTCATCTTGATAGTTTCGGAATTTGGGAGGTACTTTAATAGTACATCTGTGACAGGAAGCTGCTGTGTGACATTTCTAGCCTGTGAGATGAACTGGAGACACTCAGAAGTGGAGTGCTGAAGGACCTGTGCCCTGTCAGTCAGACTCCAAGCAGCACTGAGCTGGGATGGGAGAAGGAAGTCGTTCCTGGCTCTTGCAGGTTTTTCACTGCGCCGAAGACTGCAAAGACTCACTAGTATCAGCACTTGGGGAGGTCTCAGGGTTCTGAGTACCTCACCAGCAGTGTGCTGCACCCATCTCTACAGAGCCCCCGCTGTGTCTCTTAGAGAGACACAGTCTTGAACCTGGAGCCCTGGGCTGATGCTTACAACTTTCTTGAAGGCAAAAATCTCTTGAGGCCATTCTGGGGTGAAGTCTTCCATACTGGTGCTCTGTGACCTGCCATTCAAGACTCCATGAGAGGCAGGACTCAGACAGAACCCATATTCACCTTCTAGGAGACCCAGGTCCCTGCAGCTTCAGTGACAGTTTCAGGCTATTGGCTCAGCGAGGACTGACATCTGCTGTGACCTCTCTCACCCTGCTCCTCCTGTGACTGCAGTGCTCAGTGTCCATCAGGGCTTAGCCACATCCCTCACACCACACCCCTCTGCCCCTCATGCACCGTGGCCTGGGAAAGGAAAACCCCAAAGCATAACACACACATGGTTCTTTCCAGAAGGGCTTTGCCAGTTCCTGATTTAAAATAAAACACATCAGGACAGCCTTGGTTAGCCTGGTCATGTGGCTAGCAGCTGCGAGGTCTATACGGCCAACTCACTGTCCACCATAACATTTACCTTCTCTTTCCCCTGGAATCTGCCTTGTTTGCTTCTGCTGTGGGCTTTTAAAGCCCCACTGACTTTACTGTTGGCTCTGCACAGCTCCGAGAGCAGATAGAGGCCTGTGTTTACACTCTCTCTTTCTGTTAAACAGAAATGAAATCCTGTGGAACGGTGTTCTCTTCTGAGTCACCTTCCCTCCTCCTGTCTCCCTCTTCCCAGCAGGCCGCCTGGGGATGCTGGGGTTTTAGGCCACCAGCCGCAGTCACTTGCTGGGGAGCCCGCACCTCTCCCACGAAGCTCTCCTGAGCCTGACAGGGCCACTCTGCCTTGCCCTTCGCGTTGTCCCCACATAGGAGGCACACCTCAGATCCTGGGCCCTGGGGCTGCTCAGAGCTGTCCTGCTGGCCCACACAGACTCCTCTGGCACCCTTCTTCACAGGAGGAGGCTGGCGCTCCGATGCTTTAGTTCTTCCCCTAAGGCTTTCAGGGTGACTGGAGTCTGCCTTCACCTGTTCTGCTGGAAATGGCCACAGTTCCTGCCTTGTGTGCACATGACCCAACTCCTTTATTATCCTCCAAGCAGCCTTCCCCCATCCGCACTCAGAAGGCACAGAACTCAAGACCCCTGCTGCTTTTCCAACTTGATAATGATACTGCACATGTCTGTCTGATGTCCGTTTGGAGACAGAGCAGGGCCTGATGGGACATGGCGGGAGTTCAGGCGTCTTCCTTCTTCCTCTGCAGAATGAGGGAGGACAGCGCTCGGGTCTACGAGAACGTGGGCCTCATGCAGCAGCAGAGGAGCTTCAGATGAGCCCCACTGGTGGCGGCACGCAGGTATCTAAATGCCACGGCGCTGTCTGGGACTGTGATGCACAGCGTTCCTAGACAGGCCAGTGATTTGTGTATGCCAGAGCAAAACGTACTGTGATTGAGCTTTGCAAACCAGCTTCTCTTCTCTGGCCTTGTCTCTCTCCAGGCTGGGTTTGGTTTGGAGCTCACTGAGCATTAAAATCAGATCAGATAACTGTGCATGGGGGTGGGGCTGGCACTTAACAGCAAACAGTTGGCAGTGATGAAGAGCAGCCATCACTGTTCTGCACGTAGAACTGGGCTTGAGTGGCATAGGCCCTGCTACCTCTGGCCTCTTGGCATCGGGAACAGCCATGCCTCTGAGGGCACGGGGTCCTGGGCTCCCCTGGCTTTTGATTGGGTCATTTCCCTGTGAGGGGTCTCTTTGTCAGTCACCATGCTTGATCCATATGCGTGACGCAGGCTTGTGTGGTACATTAGAAACACACAGTTTGGTGTTACATGATAAAATTCCTGTCAGCGACAGTGTAGTTCAGCAGAGAGCGTTTGTCTAGCATGTGTGTGTGACACCCTAGTTCCAGTGCCCAGCACTCTCCAGAGAGTGTGACACTTTCCTGCTTGTAGATATGTGCTCCCTAAAAGGTGCAACTTCTCTCTTCCTCAGATGCGAACTTTCACCCCTTCCCTAAAAATGTCAAGAATAGACGAGAAAGTTTCCAGGACCCATGTGTTCAGAAGCTCGCCCGCCCGGGTTGACTGACTGCTTTTTGAGAAGTGAAGTTTGGAACCATTTGAAGAGCACGAGTCTCGAGTCTAATCGTCACCTCCCTTCCTCAGATAAGGGGAAACCGCTCTGCGATGTCAACAGTGCTGTTTTCCGAGAATTGGTTTTGAATCGTGGAAACAGCTAAATTGTGCTCTGCATTTTACACATTATGGGACTCAAATTCTAGTTATGGGCAGGATTTTGTTTCTTTTTATGACCTTAACTGATCTGATTTTTTACCCCTCTCTCTTTGGGGAATCATGGGCCCCTTGTAAGAAGAAAGGATTTGGGGAAATTCAGGAACAGCCTCCCCCAAGAAGCCAGCAGTCTGTAAACCACTGCTCATCTTATACCGACTGTCCAGGGGTTGCTTAGGGTCGCTTATCATCAGAGACTCACTGTTTAGTTCCAGGGACCGGGAGGCCAGGCTGTAGGGTTGCACTGGTGAGGGACTCTGGCGGTGCCACACCCAGTGGGAGAGCAGGAGGGCTGGCCTCGACTTTACAGCCAATCGATGATGACCGCATGAGTCCACCCTTAAGACCCAACCATTCCTTAGCGTCCCACCTGTCACCACCACGGCATCAGGATTCTCTGCGCTCCCTGAAGATGATGATATGTCGGGGCACATTCAACACAGACTGACCCTAGTGAAATGATCATTCAGCCAGTGATGAGCGTTGGTATAAAAAGTCATGGCTGAAAGGCCGTGGGAATTGGCGACTGACAAGTCTTTCCTCTGAAGATGACCCCTTGGCTTCAGGTGTGGACAGAGAAGCTGTTTTGGGAAAAGTGACCATGTTGTCTTTGCACTGGAATCATCATCTTGTGTTAGTAAGACCCCTGGATGAGTGAGTGAGCGGCCTTTGGTCCTCACTTGTTCCTGACTGACCCGCCCCGCCCCCATTCTTCAGTCCTATCTGGGCTTGCATGACGCCTACTGTCCTGTGGGGCTCACTTGGGAAGTTGGAAGGCCGAGACACTGAGCTTCTGTCTCAATGTGTCTTCCAGGTTGCTTCTCCTGGTGTCTGTGTAGCCTCACTGGCAGGGTGGCTGGGCCTTTCTGTGCCCCCCAGGGCTCAATGGCAGAAGTAGCCAGGCCTTCCTCAGATTCAGGCCTGGAATGACCGTGACTTCTCTGGCTGCCTGTGAGGGAATCAGACTGAGCTTGAGGTGTGTAGTGGAGGTGCCATGCTCTGGGGCCACCAGTCTGTCAGACAGCCCCCGCCCATGCCATGGAAGCAAGTGGCCGTAGTTAGCAAGAGCCCAGGCTGCTTGTAGTAGCTGGTGTAAACGGTGGGTCAGATGAGAAATGTACAGTGCGCATTTTAGAAGCTTCTGAGCCAATTTTTCTGTCACTGCACACGTTTTGCACCATCCTCACCCGAAGACCTGGTGTGGTAAGGGAGGGTGTGTTTGGGGACGGATGGAAGCTCGTTCCCGAAGCTCCACAGATGGGTGAAGGTGATGCTTCATCGGCCCTTGGCTGAGCACAAAGAGCGGCAGTCCTGGCCAGAACTCCCGTCAGCTCCAGTCAGCTACTTGTGCTCTAACCAAGCAGCAGGATTTGCTAATGTGCTGCCGTAAGTGCCTTCTCCAGAGACGCCCCCTCTGCCTGTGTGGTGTCGAGAGCTGGTTTCAGCGAAAGCATCCGGATTGACGCTCATGACCAAACGCTGGTACAGCCTCCACTCACATTCTTTGGCTTCGGTTCCTGAAAGGAAGGACTGGACCCTGCCGCCCTGCGATCGCTCCTTTCTGAGGCCTCCCATTCCCTGACAGCCCGAGGTAGGTCCAGGAGCAGAGAGGCCACCATTTTCTCAGAGCACATGTGCTGATCCTTGCCCCTTCTCCACTGGACTCATTGCTTCAGAGCACAGCGTGGCCTGGCCGTGCTCCCTCATCAGGGGAAACCTGTGACAAGATCAGCCGTGTTCCCTCATCGGGGGAACGCGGAGGCTGCAGTCTTCTCACAAACCTGTGACGAGATCAGTTCAGCGCTCACAGCCAGGACCCCGGACCCTATTCTCTTTAGCACATTGTCACAATGAACCGTGTTGGGGATGGTGGTAATATCTAGACTCTGGACATTGGGGACAATGTCTCTCACCAGCACACAGAGATTGGCTGTCCAGCTGATCTACTGAGTTAACGTCTCTGCCTGCAGCTCAAGATCCCGGAGCGGAAGACCCGTTCTTAGCCCACTGTGTTCAGTACAGCAAGTGGTTTCCTCCGGGTTCCCCTCCTAGAAGCCAGCCCGTTGTCACACCAGTAAGGAAACAGATTCCTAGGAGTCCCCAGGTCTCCCGGATCTGTCAAGTATGGTGGTTGCAGGGTCTCAGGAGAGGGCACTTGGTGTGTTGGAGGCAGGTGCGGTGTCTGCAAAGGTGTGATATTGGAGGTGTGGAGTTGAAATAGTGGGAATGAAAGTTGCAGAGTTGGTTCATGAGCAAGTCAGAGGACACAGGGCCAGAGTAGCCAGTGTGTGGACATCGGCTTCCCAGGCACAGAGTGACGGCATTGAGCAGAATGGACACGTGGTCCCCTCACTGCTGAGCCTTTTAAATTAGAAACATAGGATTTTATATTTCGGGGAAAAAGTTGTCTAGCACATGGTATTGGGGTTTCTGGAAAGCCACACTTAAGAGTCTTACCTAGTAAGAAGGCTTGCCACTCTGATGGGTGGCCCGAGTGATGCCCTGGGTCGCCTCTGCCATTGCGGTCGGCACCTTTCTTATGGCAAAGCTGGGGTGAGAAAATGTCAGCTGTCATCAGCTCTGCTTTTACAGAGCTGGTGGCCGTCAGTGGCTCAGAAGTGGTCAGCATTATTTCTAGGGTGTTTCCTGGGGGTTCATGAACATGAGCATTGTTTTCCTGTGCCGGGACCGAGGCAGGTGCACTCGTGAGGAGTTCTGTAGATTCGTGATCCTTAGGGAAACAGACTACAGGCCGAAGTGCAAGCCCAGGGCAGGCTTTGCCACTCTCCATTGTTGGGGACACTTTACAGCACACAGTCACCCTGGTTTCAGATGCCTTTCTTAGGCTCTGTGCTAGTCTGCCATTTTGTTGAGTCTTCTCCCCGCTTTATGGAAAGCCGAGCTCCTGTGTAGAGTTCGCTGCATTTCCTGTCACTAGTGGCCTGCCTCTCTTTCCGGGGGGCAGAGGGGGGTGCAGGGCACCCGTGGGAGCAGAGAGCAGTTGTGTGGTGCTGTGGAACTTGGCTGTGCATCCAACTGAGCTTAACAAGTGTTCCTCTCAAACCTTAGTCATGGGGTTAATAATTTGCCTGTTTATTTATGACCTAATTGTGACTCTTTTATTAATAAAAGCTAATGGGAAAGGCCCCTCCCTGAGACTGATGACTAGACTCACATTTAACTTCCCCACAGCATATGAAGCATCAGGCAGAATATTAAAGAAATATACTATTTTATTGATAAATCTGTCCTTTAAAAGGAACATGTTTTTGGGTGTCATCATTTTGGTGTGAATCATGTAAATGTTGGCTGTTTGCTGCTGTTTATTACACTTTAGTGTCAGGAGATGCACTCAGCTGCCTTTCTGCCCACACACATGCAGTCTGCGATTTTGTAAGTGACATTAACGAATAGTTTGTGTAGGGAAACCTCAGAGGTCGTCACCTCCCCACCTGTGTCCTGAGTGTCAGCTGTTTTCTTAGCTGACGTCATCAGAGTATAGCTGCGTATACTCCGTGGATCGTCAGAGGCAGTGTATTTGTGAGCTGTCTGGAACTGAATAGTAGAATAAAACCATTTTCTTGTATTACGGTGTTTGTCATTCGCTTGGCCGTCATGTCGGGGGGAGGGGGGAGCAGGATGATGAGGAAGGGGAATGTTGGCTCAGTCTGCCGCTCACACCAAGTGCCTCAGGCAGCAGGTCCTGCTGGAAGGCCTCTGCAGGGCCGAGTGTAAGGGGCTTGTCACTCCAGGGTCTCACTGCTGGCCCGCCCTTTGTGGCTGCCAGGGAGAGGCGGGAATTCTGGCTGGAAGGACTTGAGAGTAAATAAAGGTCCCCGACTCTGTGTGACCGCTGTGGTGATGCTGGGAAACGGTTGCATGGGTGGTGTTCAGGTGTGTGCATCAGGGGCAGCCCTGTGCTGTGGGGACATCGGTGCTCCCTCTACAAGCCATGTCCAAGCAAGGGTGCTGTCTTTATTTTCTAACTGTAGGGGGAGCCTGGGGCCTCACCTATGTTAGCGCTTGAGCCCACCCCAACCCCTCGCTGGGGGATTCTGGACAGGCTTTCTACTGCTGAGCCATGACCTCTAGCTCTAGGCCATGTTCCTCCAGCCACAGCATGTACTGGGCAGGAGGACATCATTTCATAAACACCCAAGCAGATACTTGCTTGTCCTCTCTTGGGAAGGGAAGACATTTGGTTACCTACACTGTAAAATGCCATAGCCCTTAGGGTCCAGCCCAGGTATGCCATGAAGATGATTGGATCCACTGGGCTCTCCAGAAAACAAAGATTGCCTTTTTTTTTTTTTAAAAAAGATTTATTTATTTATTATGTATACAGTGTAATGTCTGCATGTATGCCTGCAGGCCAGAAGAGGGCCCCAGATCTATTACAGATGGCTGTGAGCCACCATGTGGTTGCTGGGAATCGAACTCAGGACCTCTGGAAGAACAGTCAGTGCTCTTAACCGCTGAGCCATCTCTCCAGCCCCCAGATTGCCTTTTATTTTTTTATTTTTTATTTATTTATTTATTTATTTATTTATTTATTTATTTATTTATTTATTTATTTATTTATTTATTTATTGGTTTTTCGAGACAGGGTTTCTCTGTGTAGCTTTGCGCCTTTCCTGGAACTCACTTGGTAGTCCAGGCTGGCCTCGAACTCACAGAGATCCGCCTGCCTCTGCCTCCCGAGTGCTGGGATCAAAGGCGTGCGCCACCACCGCCCGGCCCAGATTGCCTTTTAAATGCCAGGCTCTGAGCCATGCCAGACAGGTGAACAATAACCACACCACCTGACATGATGCCTGCCGGCCAGGAAGAGCAGCACCCCTGGCACGGGCTAGCGGCAGCTAGTGGGATGTTCCTCTGCAGGTGCCTGGCAGGGCCGAGGGCACATTGGGTAACGAGAGGAGGAGCTGGAAGACGGGCTCGATGCACTCACTGCTGGCCTCTCCACACCGTAGTGCACATCCTCCTGAGATCCTGAGCTGTGCACGGTGGGCGGTGGTGATGTCGTGAGGCCACGAGAGAGCCCAGCAGTGCTGTGCCCCTCCACGATGGGCAGGTGAAATGCAGTCCCTTCCCTGTGGAGACATAAGCAACCCCTGGCCCTTCTTCATCAGGTCCCAATGACAAACCAGAGTACAGTTTCATCAGAGTTCACTCTGGGCAACCAGTGGATTTATTGGGTGCCTTACAGGGCATGGGGTGAAGGGTGACTGGCAATGTGGTCGTGTGATCCTAAAACAGCCACGCTATAAAGTCTAGCTGCGTAGATGGAGCCCCGTTCAATTAAGCTCCCCAACCTTTAATGCTCTAGCGGCTGCAGGGGCCATCTCTAGATAGGGAGGAACCGCACGCACAAGGAAGAAGGAAGGCCCCCCTCCCACCTTCCCTGAGAGCGAGTGTTAGCCGTCCACAAGCTCCACGTGATGGACTTGCAAGCAAGCGCAGCGGATCGGAGGAAGATGGTAGCGGTTTCTCTTGGGAGGACCAAAGGAATCTACAGCAAGGAATCCAGGGCCCTTGGATTAGGTAGGTCGCCTTTCCACAGAGAATTTCCCGGCCCAAGAACCTACCCTCCGTGTGTGGTCCCATCTCCCATCTGCTCTGTGTCCCTCCGTGCTCCCGAGGGGGTGGAAGGGGTCACCTTGGTCTTGAGAGCTTTGATTTCAGACACAATCCCGCGACCCCCAACTAGTTCGGATTCCAAAGTGAATTTGCACAACAATGAGCTAGAAGTCTACGGACTCAGGGGTGATAACAGTTATTCTCATTTGCTTTTCTGTCGCTGTGACTAAAAACAGCTCAGAGAGGAAAGGGTTTATTCGGCAGGTTCCATCATCAAGGGAAAACCAAGGCAGGAACTCAAGGATCTTGAAACAGAAACTGTTTACTGACTTGCTTAGCTAGCTTGTCTTTCTTTTTTCTTTCTTTCTTTCTTTTCTTTCTTTCTTTCTTTCTTTCTTTCTTTCTTTCTTTCTTTCTTTCTTTCTTTCTTTCTTTCTTTCTTTCTTTCTTTCTTTCCTTCCTTCCTTCCTTCCTTCCTTCCTTTCTTTTTTTCTTTCTTTCTCTCTTCTTTTTTTCTCTCTTTCCTTCCTTCCTTCCTTCCTTCCTCCCTCCCTCCCTCCCTCCTTCCCCCCCTCTTTTAAATACAGCCCAGGCCCCACTTGCCTAGGGATGGTACCACCCACAGTGGACCGAGCTCTCCTATCTCCAGTCTGCCCACAGTCCAGTCTGATAGAGGCAATTCCTCAGCGGAGGTTCCCTCCTCTTAGTTTTATCAAACTGACAACCGAGATCAGCCATCACCGTAGTCCAGGTACCAAAGCTTGTTATTCCTGTCACGTGAGGCCCTGATACCGCGGTGATCGGAAGTGTGGCTGCTGGGGAGGATGGGGAAAGAATGATGGATGAGCTCAGGGGTGCAGTTTGATGGGATCAATGGAGCCTAATGTTCTGTAGCACAGGAGGATGATTATGGTTGACAGCAATTAATTATGTATTTCAGAATGGCTAATTGAGGGGATTTTGAGTGCTCCCAAACACGAAGAAATGATAACTGTTCGATGTGATGGATATGCCACGTATCCCAATCTGATCACACAATGTATACCGGATTGAAATGTCATTCTAACCCCAGGCATATGTAAAGTTATGTCATTTCTTTTCAATTGAATATAGCTATTGAAGTAAGAGTTGAAAGCAAACTGGGTATGGTAGCACGTGCCTGTAATCCTGGGACGTGGAGGCAGATGGGAGTTGCTATGTATTGAGTCCAAGACCAGCCTGGACTACATTCAGACTCTAAAACAAAGCAAATCAAAGGTTACAAGGAGGCAGCCCTGTACCGTGAAGCCTGTTTTCAGCTCACAGACAAATGAGTCTAATATTCCCTGCGTAGAATATGCTTTGCTTTTAAACCGTCTCAGAATGTGGCCCTGGCTGTCCTGGAACTCGATCTGTAGACCAGGCTGGCGTTGAACTTACAGAGATTCACCTGCCTCTGCCTGGGATTGAAGGTATGAGCCACGATAGCAGGACCAGCTTTATACTGAAATATATAATAATTACACTGAAAAGAATTTGTTTGGGGTTCAAATCCTCTACTCCTTAGCCAAGATTCAATCTCGAGATAGGTTAATCAATTCCTGCCTTTGAGAGGCACAGTGCAGCCGTGAATATACAAATGTAGATTCTGGTTGAAGTGGGTGGTTCCTGGGCCGGGGAGAGACCCTGCCTAGAGCTTTGGATTTAGAAGGGGGGTAGCAGGAAAGGGAGGAAGAAATGCCTGCTGATTCCTTCCCCGTCTCCAACTCTAACTGCATTGTCTTAACCCACTGGCAAGTCAAGAGAGCCAAGTGACACAGGCCCAGCAGCTGTAAGGGCTTGGGATCTGCAGGGGCCACAGTCCGCCGTGATCCACAGGGCTCAGCTTCCCAAAGCAGAGCCAGGCAGAGGATGCTCTTGGGTGGAGGCTCACAGGACCCTCCCATCTAAAGAAATGGTCAATGCAGTCTCAGGGCTCACTTCTGCATCAGATCTATCTGCCTGCCAGCCTGCTCCCCCCCTTCCCCCCGCCCCGTCCTTCCATCCATCCCTCCTCCTCTTCTTTCTAACTTTTTGGACTAGGTTCTCCTGTAGCCCAGGCTGGCCTCAAACTCACTCGGTAGGATGATCTTGAATTCCTTCCGCCTCCACTCCCCAAATTCTGGGATTTCCGGCATGGGACAGCACAGCTGGTTCTTTTCACACTTCCCTTTGCAGTGCTGAAGGTAGAACCTGGGACCTTGGGCGGGTTATGCGAGCACTCTTACCACCGAGCCGCAGTCCGAAATGTGCAGCTTCTCAGGGTCACCAGGACACCCATCTGTCCTCCTGTGGTTGGAGAATAGCTGTACAAGCAGATTTCTCTGTGGAGGTAAATGCTCAAGATCACGTCCAAGCCTATGTCGGTTCCTCTGGAGGTGAGGGTCTGAGGTTTGTTTTTTTTGTTGTTGTTTTTGTTTGTTTGTTTTCCGAGACAGGGTTTCTCTGTGTAGTTTTGGTGCCTGTCCTGGATCTCACTCTGTAGACCAGGCTGGCCTTGAACTCACAGAGATTACCTGGCTCTGCCTCCCGAGTGCTGGGATTAAAGGCATGCGCCACTACTGTCCGGCTTTTTTTTTTCCTCTGAGTTCTTATTTTACCCAATCAAAATTAATCTTTTGAGAGGGTTCTCACTATGTAAATCAGACTGTTCTCCAACTCTGCCTGCCTCTGCCTCCTGAGTGCTGGGGTTAAAGGCCTGCACCACCATGCCCAGCTTATTTTTCCTTTATGTGTCCATGTGAGTCTGCCACATGTCTGCAGTGCCTGTGGAGGACAGAAGGGGCGTCAGAGCCCCTGGAGCCGGAGTTACAGGCAGTTGAGGGTCATCCTGTAGGTTCTGAGAATCGAACTCCCATCTTCTGCAAGAAGAGCCAGTGCTCTCAAACTATGAGCCATCTCTCAGACCCTTATTTTATATTTTACACTTATTCATTTATGCATCATCTGTGTGGGGGAGAGTGCATATGTGCCAGCACATGTACATGG